AATTAAATAAAGATACGCTTTCTTTCTCTCAGTGTACTCCCACTAGACACACATACACATATTTGTTAAGAAAATAGCCTTTCACAAACAGAATTCTAATAAATCCGAAATAGTAGCAATCCGTAAAAGCGACTGGTAGACATACGGGCAGACAGGCACGCAGACGGCGAGGGGCCATTGAGCACCACCCCAACAAAAACTTGCGAATAGATAGTCAAAGCACGGCTCTCACTCAATTGGTGGCAGGAAAGAGCTTTTTCTCGTCCTGAGCTGCGAAACACGCTACGGCCAAAGTAGTTGGAGCGGAGGAGCCTATGCGTTAAGACACGCACGCGATAGACGGCGTACTCGAAAAAATTCGATGCAGAAAAAATATGTGTTTGATAAAATTGAAAAATAAAAACCAGATGCAAATGTGTGTTTGTGTGCAAGCAGAAAATTGAAGAAAATGCAAATTGAAAAGTCAAAGCAATAAAAAAAATGCAATAAATCAATGCAAAAATCGCAAACGCAGTGGAAACGTGAATTAGCGAGGAAACGAGTGCTGACGGGCGAGAAAATCGAAGAAAAAAGGACATTTGCCAGCGCGAGGACGCAACGCAGGCAATATAAGTTGTAGCAGAAGTTAAGGAGGAATAGATAAAAAGTTTCCAATAGCAGCAGAATCAGCAAGCAATAGGCAGTAGTAGTACTACGGGGCCAGTAGAAAAGAACTAGGAGAAGTAAAATTTCGAAAAGTGCTGTAAGAAGAGTGAACTCGCTAGGCGCGGGCGGCAAGGGTGCCCGTGAGGGCAGCGAAAGAACGAGAACGACGCCGAGTGGTCGCCGAGGCTAGGCAAGTTGAGTGGCGGAAGCGTAAAGGAATGTGGTGCTGTGCGCTAGAAGAGCGCCTCAGCTGAAGCTGAGCTGCAGAGGCGCACTGCCTGCTGCGAGGCGACACACCGTCTCTACACCGTGTAAGCCCCTCGGCGCAGGTGGAGGCAAGAAAAAAAGGAAAAAATCAAACGTGAAATGGGCAACGCGACGTAATGAGCCAAAAATGAAGGAAATTAATAGGAAAATGCAAATTTGCAGAAAAAGACGGGAGTGAGCGAGAGCGCGAGCGAGCGAACGTAACCACGATAGAAGGGGTTTGAGAAATGACAAAGCTAAAAATGGAAAAAAATGCGTACAAAATTTTTGGAAAGCCATGAAAATGTCAGCATGAAAATTGCGTTGTATGAATTCGTAGAAAGCCCAAGGAGGGCTGTAATGGCGTGCAAGTGCAAGTGAAGAAGAAAAAAAGCTTTTTTGTTTAAAGTAGCATATTTTTAGGGTTGTACTGTGTAAAGTACCAGCCGACTGAATAACTGTATACGCACGAAAAGAATAAAAGCAAAACGTCAGCTGTTGAAACAGTAAAATATTAAAAATTTATGAACAGCATACATATACATAAAAGCAAAGGCCAGGAAAGTGAAAGGAAATTATAGAACACACACACACACTCACACATACACATTTAATTACTTACTCGCTAAGTAACCTTGACTGTGCAGTGTGGGTGCGTTGTGTAGAAGGAGCGTAAACGTGGAGAGCGCGCGCTGCCTGCTGACGAGTGGGAGGGGCTGGGTTTGAGGGGGTAAACAGCAATTGAAAGTAAAAGAAACAGAAAACGCCAAAAAATATGTTAACAATTTGTAAAAATTGCAACGCCCCTAAGTAGGCTAAGCGAAGGACCAAATGGGCCACCGTTTCAAAGTAGACTGCCAAATCAATCGAAAAACACTTCCCTTTGCCTGCGCCAACCGTTCGCCATTCTACCAGGAAGTTCACCAGCAACAAGCAGCATAGCAGCGACGTCACCCACCCACCCAACTCACTCCGATGACGCATTCCAACAGCAACAGTCTGCTGCAGAAGGTTATCTCGTTGCGTGAGAATATATACCCTACCAGCTGCTGCTCCCAGCCCGTTTTTGGCCTCTGCGTCTGCCTCAACCTCTTCGCTGACGCCGTCTCTAACGACTGGTTCGCTTGTAGCGTGAATGTTAAATGCACAGGCAGAAGACGTGACTTCGAAGCAGCCAAGCAACTGAAGATACTGCAACACTCAAGAGCAGAAGTAGTAGTAGAAGAAGACCAAGAAAGGGGCGAAATCCACACAAGAGAAGGTGAGGTAGCGGCCACGACAACAATAAGAACAAAAACAGCTGCACAACACTACAAGGACTACAAGGAACCTCGAAGCAATTCACAACAGCAGCACCATCAGCACCAGCAGCAACTTGTATGCACCAAAAACACAGCAAAAGCGGACAAGGTTTTCAGCGAGCAGCGAGTTCGACATCTCTATGAGCATACGCTAGTGTACGAGTATTTCGTGGTAGTGGTCGTACTTAAACGCTGCCGAAAGCCAATTACGCTCGGGCTCGCTGAATTTGAGCTACATAACCATTTATCGTTACTAGTTATGTTAATGCTCTGCCGTGTGGTGGCGAATGTGACGAGTGAGAGAGTAGCGGTTACGCCAGCAATGCTGCCTCCGATTCGATTGCAAGTTAACAGTGCTGCCAGTGAGAGTGTGGTGAATTTTAAATTGTCAAAGACAGCGGAAACTAAAGGAAGTGGTAAATACGGTGGTGGAAAACAACAAAATCGACAACACAAACAATGTGCAACGAAAGTTAGATGAAAAAACGTTAAAAATGTGAAAGAAGAAAAAGAGGCGGTAAAAGTAAAAAGTTGTACGACAACAACTACAAGCAAAAAGCAATAAGTCATTAAAAAGAAAGAATAATAAGAAGTTGACGTAAGTGAAAAGTGAAAATACAAACAAATACAATACCAGAATAGAATGAAAAGTATGGCAAAAGCACAGTATTGTGCTGCTGATAGAGATACCTATTCAAAAATACAGCAGTGTGGTAAATATGCGAAAATGTCAAAAGCGTTGTAAAGTAAACAATTAAAACAAACAAAACTTAAATGTAATATTAAAAAAAAAAACGAACATATTTATGCAGAAGTGAGTTGAGTTAAGAAAGTGCTCAAAGTAAAGTGAATATTTGAAATAAGAAAATGTTTAGTAAGGGAATGTGTTTCAAATATTTGAAATTTAATAAAATATTGTTCAAATATAAGCTGCTTGAGGAGCGCAGCTCTGGAAACTAAAATTGCATGCAAAAAAAAAAACAAAAAAAGTGGTTAAGATAAAAAAACACAAAAACGTGAAAGATATAAAATGAGTGGAACTTGTTACGCTAAAAAGCGGAAGCTAACATCACATACAAGAAAAAATCAGCCATAATAAATAAAAAAATAAAAATAAATAAATAACCTCAAATTATGATAATAGTTTTATTTAAACACTCGCCACATTGTTCAATTGCTCCTAACTACATGTAACCTGTATGACCTGCTGCCAATTTAAAACAATCCAAAAACACAAATTTATCAAAGTTTTTAAAGTACCAACCAAACTAAGAAGCAAGTCGTTTAACTTACAGGCACCAACAACAAAATCTTTCTACACAACTTTAATAAGTATTTGTTATCGAAAGTTAAATATAATCCACCAAGAGCGCACTCCAATTCCAACACGAAGCCCTTGAACTTATTTGTCCTAACTAAATACCGTTATCCTTGATACTAATTACTGCGTTTACTGCCGCCAGCAAGTTTTTGCTGTGTTTTGCCAAATTCCAAACAGTTAAACGCAACTCTATTCGATATCGAAAATAAAAATCGGTATTCACTCCACCTGAAGGCCAATGAAGCTGCGGGCTGCAGGTAAATAGAAATCCATACCAGAAAAAAACGACAAATCTCAATTTACCTACCATCTGCTTTTCTGGCCACTTCCCTTTGGCGCAACACTGCGTCAACATTTTTTAAATTCTTTTAAGCTCTTGCTTGTCGTAAATGCTGTGTAACGTGCTATTACAAATAACAGCAATACCAACGAGCAACAGCAATCAGCAATTCTCGACCGTCATCGTCGCCGTCTTGCAGTTTGTTGTCCGCACAGCAGTGATAAATATTAAATTTACAAAATCAGGAAACGTGTCAGTCAGTGGTCGCTGCACACTCTGTCGTTCAGTCATCGCCGGCCGAGCAGCTGACCATACAGTTCGTCGTCAACTCGTTTAGGATTTTTGCAATCGCATCAGCAGCAGCAGCGAGGAAGGAACGAACGAACGGTGACAGTTGACGCTGTATCGTTGTACGACGACACGTCCGTTCCGTTATGTCTGAAACCGGTGGCAAGTGGATGTGAAGGCGGAAGGAAATAGGCAGGAAAGTAACACTTTGCATAGCTGGCAACCAGCGGTGGTAGGACAACTTAACAAAGGACAACAACAACTAATGAAAACGAGTGAAGAAGAGCGGCGGTAGTAAAAGTACGGCATTTACACGAAAATAACTGTAAAGTGAACAATACACAAAAAAAACTACTTCTGACTCATGCGAAAATAAGTGTGGTAACAAAAGACAGCAACAACCACAACAACAAAAGCAACGATACGAGTACCACAAATAGGATTAAACCAAGGCATTGCAATGCTTTCGACTTAAACACAACAACACGAACAACAAAGCAGCTTGAAATAATACAACGCTGCAGCGCTGCTGTTTTTATGACGGCAGCGAAGCAAGTAAAGCAAGCAATAAACAAATTTAGAACACTCAAAACAACAAAAAAAAAAACAAAAACACCACCAACAGCAAAACTTAAGGAAAATCAATCTTTTTGCAAGTTGAGGCGTTTAATGAAAGCTTTCAACAGCCAAGCGTCGCCGAGTCGTCACACAAGTTGGAGAAGTTTCAGCTAGAAGTGGAAATAGCAACAAGAAAAACAATAGAAATAAATCTGAACAAGGCAAACAATAAGGATTTCGCTTGAATTTGTACAAACGTAATCCGATACAACTGCAGTGGCAAAAAAAAATGAAATAAGAAGTTAATAAAAAATAAAAAGGAAACCAGCAAATATTCAGAACAAGAAAAAAGTTGATAGATAGAAGAGGATGGTGACAAATTTCAAAATATTTAATATATATAGAAATGAGGGAAAATGTTAACAAATAAGAAATTATTAAAATCGAAAAGGCAGTTGAAAACTAAATTATAGTACCTACAACCAAAGGCAGATAATTAAAACGAAAGAAAACAAGCAACAGGACACACAAATCAATTCTATCATATTGATAAATAATTGAGGTGAGTAAAAATTTACACAATAAATAATTTATTTAATAGATATGTACTCTAGGGTGATTCAGATTTTTTTTGTCCTCGGAACTATGCTGAAAAACTTCGTTTAGATGCCAAAATAAGTCTTAGGGTTAAATGAGCCCTTAATATTAATATTAAGAATGTCCGCATCGCATAAGAATAACTTAGGAAAAATTGTTTTGTTTTTCTTCTGATTTTTATATTTAACGAACGATACTTTGTACTCTAAAGATATTGGAGTATTTTTTTCATTTTTCGATAAGTCTACTCGGTCAAATGTTATTCGAAGTCAAATTCGAATTCACCATTATATAAGCTTATCACAACCTTAAATTTGCTTTTTGAGTTCTTAGAAATTCATAAAACTGAACTATCGATATTATTCTAATCACCCTAATATACACATATACATATGTATACGCATAACATTTGTTAACTGAAATTGAAGCGCTTCATCTAAGATTAGAAGAAATTTATGAAGATAATATTTATTAATTTTAAAAATTGCAATTGAAACAAATTAATCTCATATTTCTCAAAATCTCTCATTACCATTATATTTAGTAAATACACCGTGCGACAGTAAATTTTACGCATAAAAAGCAGTATCTATTCTCGAAACTGCTGGTCAAATATGGTAAAACTCTTTTTAAAGGACTTTGAAGTTTTTAAAATATGATTACTTAAAAAATTAAAAAAAAAATTGGCGCAATGTAGAAAAACAGTATATCAATTAAAGAGAAAAATTTGTAGAATTAAAGCCGATTGGTACATAAGGACAATTAGGTATTGAAAATGTAATTTTAAAACTTTATCCTGGAATATTTTTGAAACTGCAATAACTATTTTGTAAAAAATGATATGTTAAGGACTTACCTCATCTACGAACTTCGTCCTTCTAATGTTATTAGCTAAAAAAAAAAATATAATTAACTAAACGGGAATTTTCAACACCTATTCATCCTTGTGTACCAAAAAATTTTGATTTTTTCTTAATTCTAAAGAATTTTTTTAAATACTTTTAGGAATGAATCATATTTTAGAAACTACAAATCGGGAGTATTGAAAAATTATAGAATCAACAATCGGGTATTATTATTGGAAGCCTCCTGAAGAGAAACAGAGAAACCGTTTCTACGAAAGTGTTTTTTCTCCATAGAAAATACATGAAAAACTTCATGGACTTTGAGGCAGTGCTAAATATAATTTGTTAAAAAAAATACGGGTATTCTTTTCGTTTTAGAATAATCGTGAGGGGTGAGAGTTTAACATTGTAAACTTTTTTTAGGACCATCCTAATGCGTAGGTGTCCGCTGTGGTTTAGTGGTCAGCAGTGCACGCTACCATTCCGCAGGGCCTGGGTTCAAGCCCGGTTCAACCCAACATAAAAAAACTATTTTTTTTAACTTTCCATTGTAGCGTATATTTGTTTTCGCCAAATCGAACATTATGAAATTTTCCTAAAATTTTCTATAAAAAATTTAAAATTCTTGATTCGTACGAAAACAAGAACACACAACATTATCATTGAGAATTTGTTTGGCTATCGTTACCAATTGGACCCAAGGGTCATATATGTCTCTGTTTTCACATATCAGTGAAACTTTAAACTTTCAGTTCGTTTAACAAACACTGCGCACGGGAGCCAGCCTGCACTTCCCGACTAAAAAATATCGCAACAATCACCCAAATGTGGAATGTGCAGCTAGTTTGTATTCAAAGAACACCGCAATAATTTTATAATATGTGTTAAATGTGACGAAAAAAAGACAAAAAATAAACAGTTATCAATTAATCAGCTTCATTCATATTTTTTTATGCAAATAAGTTTCGCAGAGTCAAAAATTACCTTAAGGACCAATTTGGTTCGAAATTTAAAGGGCTTATGAGCAGAGTGTCCAGATTTGGCGATTTAGTGCCAATTCGTAGTTTTTTTTTGATATTTGCGCGTGAAGTCGCCATTGACGATTTTTTTCCCTTCAAATAAATTTTTTCCAATTACAAAAATATACAAGACCTAGTTTTACACGATAATTTTACAGCTAATGAACTGCGTGATAAACTTGACTTAAGAAGTATATTAAAAGACTGCCAAAAATTTTTAATCACCCTAATCGAAGACCTTTTGAAACGATTACCTAGTCAATTAAATACTTTTAAAAAAGCTTTGATTTTGTCACCAGAAAAGTGTTTGAATCACAAGAGGGAGAGTTTCAGGGACCTGCCAATTCACTATTTGACTTTGAGGGAAAGAAAAGCAGCTGAATCAGTATTTCTAAATTTTTTAACTTTCCCCATGGAATAAACTTTTTCAGAACCATTCCATCCGACTCTGAAGAATTTTCGATAATTGCCTACGGAGTGAAAACCGCAACAGGCAATAAAATGTTTGGAAATATAAGTAAAGTAGCCTTCATATTATAATCCTTGCCGCACTCACATGCTTTTGTTGAGCGCGTTTTTTCCGTAATGAATTCAACAACAACTAAGATTCTAAATAGGATGAGGTTGGAAAGCCTTAATTTAATAGTTCGAATAAAGTGTTATATGAAGGCTAATAGTTTCTGTTGCAAAACGTTTTTAATATCAAACAGTAAGGTATGAAGGATGAATAGGTGATTGTGAAGAAATTGTGGTAATAGCTGATCTCGCCTTATTATAGGTTTTTATTTAGTTTTTAGCGCCGAGCTCTTAAAAGCGTATTGTGCGATTAATCAATTAATATGAGTTATAATAAATTTAATAATTGCGCAGTCCTATTGCAAAATGTGTTGAAACAAATATTTTTAAATAAAAGATTTGTTATGTCGATTTCATGGATTTTATAAAAAAAAGGCAATTTTTGGCAATTTTTTTTTTTCAGAAATTGCGCTTTTTTAAGCAGGCATGCCCAACGCCGACAGAACTCCATAAGCAAGTGCCCTGCGCTGGCAGAATTCTATAGGCAAGTGACCTGCGCTGGGCATGCCTGTTTTAAACAATCTGGACACCCTGGTTATGAGGGCTAATTTAATAATTTTACTTTAATAATGCTTACATTGAACACTTCCTCTGTTGACAACTGCAATTGCTTTTTCTTCTTTGCGCTTCTTAAGATCTCACTGCTTCGTTGCACTATTTAGGTGGATCCAAAGCACTTGAAACCGCAACCAACTACTTTCTGTGAAATTTCATAATATTTATAGTTTCAGCCGTTTGAAGTTCTATGACATTCAACAATACGACAGTATAAAACACCTTGTGAACTCCCTAATTATGTATATCTATAAATTTTCTTCACGGCGCCTTGCAGCCCTGACTCATTGCATTTTACTTGCTTCGAAAATGCATAAAATGACAACGCCCGGACAATTTTTTTACACATTTCTCATAGAAAACACTCTCCACTATCGAATTATAAACAATTGAGTACACGTTCCCAGATATTTCTATTAGAAATTCTTATTTTTCACAAATATTCGCACACGCGCAGCGGAAACCAAAGCGATTAGCTTAAATGGCGTCGGAAGTTTGACAATGCGCAGTGTTGTATTGGCACTGCAAATAAAAAAAAAACAACAGAGTATTCACAATATGGTTGGCAAATTGTTGACCGCAGTAGGAAAGAAAATTTTACAATTAAAAACATATACAAAATGAGAGCATGCAACAACATGGCACACATGTCAACTACTTCAGATTTCAATCTTCTTAAAAAAAAGCGCAGTGTATGATGCAAAACACTGTTCGTAATGGTAAATGATCTAGCCTAGCCATAGCCACAATGCTATCGTTCGGCAGATGGCGCCGCGCTGCACTACCTTTTGACCAGCTGACAGCTGACAAATTTTGTGGCATCTTGCATTTGTATGTGGGAAACAGTGATGCAAGACTTTCTCTGCTAAATTCCCCACGAAACTTACCTCAATTGCCCACATCTTAAAAATTTGTACCACGTAATTCCCAAAGAATTCAAAACATATATTTCAGTGGTAAAGAAGTAACATCCTTAATATACATATATATATATAATATTCTTTCGCATCGATAATTATGTTAAATGAAAATCTCTTTTTTATTGAAATGCCCATTTACCCTTTTAGGGCGTGTGTGAATCGGTAACAAAGTTCTATGGGGAACGCTGTTGAATAATATTTTACTATGGTGAGACAGTTTTGCCAATCTGCTGTGTGAAATGAAATATTTATTGACAACAGTAAATTTATGATAACCACAAAATTATGCGGAATAAAATATTACAAATTGAAGTGAAATTAATATTTTAAGAAAACATCTGCCATCGTTGATTGCAATTCATCAATTTAAGCTTTTATTTAACGAAAAATTATACACATCAACAATCTTTGCGATTGTCAAAATTTTCTATGCATTTGTCAAAAATTTCACTAGCCTCATGAGCTACTAAAATTTTATTCACCTCATAGTTGTCAAAAACTTACTCGCCGCGAACTTTGTTACCGATTCACACACGCTCTTAATAATTTTTGTTGCAAACTATCCCTCCAATAAAGAAATTACCCACAATCTGGCATCACTGGTGGGAAAGCGCCAGCAGCAGAACAAGAACAAGAAAAGCAATTAGCTCCTAACTGGCGCTCTTTAGGCCAGAAATTTTGTAGCATCGAACATTTTCTATGTACATACATATGTATGTAAATAAGTTCGCTTTGAAAATGCTTACCTTAAACACTTTGCAAAGGCTTTCCCATACTTGCCATTGCTTATACCAATGCACTTCATGGTAATTATATTTCTTCACTATTTTTCTTCGCGGGGGCTTGGAGCGCCCACTAACTACATTTTATTTCTTGTAAAAAGGCATAAACAACAACACTCGTACAAATTTTTTATGCGTTACACAGAGAAAACACTGCACCATGGAATTATAAACAACGTAGCACATTTTTAGACATGTTTTTATAAGAAATTTACATTTTTCACTAAATTGTTCACCCGCGCATCGGAAACCAACGCATTTAGCTTAA